GGAGTAAAAATTTGTTCCCATGATGTAGGCTCCCTATTTACCTCTCTTATTGTTTCTCTTGCTGAGAAAAAACTTTTCAGTTAAAGAAAGTACCATTTGTTGATTCTTGTTATTAACTCTTGTGCTATGGGTGTCCTATTAAGGAATTTGGAGCCCGACCCCACAATATGTAGATCGGAGCCAACTTTTTCTTCTATCAGACGCAGAGTCTGCATGTCCTTTGTAAAGACAGTTTTACTCTAACACATAACAAAAGGAAAACATGTTTTTCTGAAGAAAAGAGTTTCTTTCTTTTTTTTTTAATCATAAGCATATCCTCAGTGATATACTGTTGAAGAATTTCTAGGACACCATTTCTGCTATCTTAGGCTGTCACAAAATCAAGAAAATATCTTTGGTAATTTAAAAATATAAATCTCTCAGCACTCCATGTTCACTGGAGCACTATTCACAGTGACCAAGATGCAGAGTCAACCTGAATGCCCATCAATGAATCAGTGTAAAGAAATTGTGTTACACACACACACACACACACACACACACACACACACACACACCATGCAATATTACTTAGCTATAAAGAGAATTAAATCTTGTCATTTGCAGCAGTGCAAATGAGCCTGGAGGGCATGATGTTAAGTGATAAGTCAGGCACAAAAAGGTAAGTATCAAATGTTCTCATATATGTGCAAGCTAAAATGGTAGATTCTAGAAGAGTAGAACTGTGGTTGCTGGAGGCTGGGCAGGGTGTGAGCGGGGTGGGGGGATAGGGAAAGGTTTGCAAATGGGAACAAAATTATAGTTAGGTAGGAGCAATAAGTTCTAGTGTCCTACAGCAGAGTAGAGTGATGACAGTTCACAGACATATGCTGCTAGAAGAGAGGAATTTGAATGTTCCCAATCCCAAGAAATGATAAATGTTTGAGGTGATGGACATGCTGATTATCTGACTTGATCATCACATTTTATAAACTTTCACAGAAATACCAGCTCTATCCCTTAAACAAACCCACAACAAACAATTATTGTGTACCAATTTAAAAATAAATGTTAAAAAATAAAAAATACCAATCCCTCTGAAGTAGTATAGCCCCTTGATCTACGTAGGTGCCACGTTTCATGTACTGAGTTTCAAGTGCTGAGTCACAGATGCACCCTCCATAAGGCCAAAGAATATTTATTTACTTCCCTACCATTAAAGCACTTGAAAAATTAGAATAAATCCTGCCTCTTTACTGCACTTAGACAGGTTTGGATCTGCTCCATGGTGTTCTTTTATTCTCACAGAAGAGCACTTCCAAACCCTGGCACTGGAGAYGATCTATATCTTCCTTCATTTAAAAATCAACTGCATGGGAAGTTAATGTGCACAGCACCTATGATGACCTCATGTTAGCTATGTCAAACCACCCTTTAGCAGAAAGCCATCCAATATCCTTGCAGAAACTCCACAATCCTTAAGACAAGGTTCTTATTGAAGAATAAAAAGTAAGAATAAGGAATATCCAAATGCAATTGGAATCTAACCAGCAAATTTTCTCATCTCACTCATACTTACCTTTCCCGCGGAACAGCAAACCAGTACTCTGGCTGCTTTCTTCGTTTGCCGTACTGCTGGACCATGGCAGCAGTGTGAGTGGCAAAGGATTTTCTCATTGGTTTTCCCACTTTGATACACAGAAACATGGGTGGGGTCTTGCTCTTTTCTTCTTTTGAAGGAAGAATATCTGAATCACAGATGAAAAAAACCTCCCTCAATACTGACAAAATTGGTGACAGTAAACTTCAACATTCAAAGAATAGCATACAATCCCTCTTAGTGATGGAAAGTCATAGCATATGGCATGAACACCATTTGGCTACTTCATATTAGAACTAATAAATTTTCCAGACCTGCTTAAGCACAGAGGRAAAAAACTTGAAATGTTTCAAATTGGTATATAACAAATAGRTGCTACATACCAGAAATAAGCATAAAAACCAACACAACAGCAAATAATGTAGAATTGTGACAATCCACAATTGTAGGTATTAATAAATGATATCAGGACCCATTTTGCCACTGTGCAATTCAGTTTAGAATTGAAATCTCTTCAAAATCATTTTAAACCCTTTTAGATTTACAAATCTAACATAAAAAGGAAAACAACTTGAAATATATTTTACAAAATAAACTGCTTTTGAAATAGAAATCTGTTATAGTTCAAGTTCCAAAACATACCATATTTTATGATTTTTCCCTAATCATTGATGCTAATAGTAAGGAAGTACTCGATTGAGAAAACACTACTCTTAAATAATTGTATACATTTGCTAYTACAGGGGCAAGTTTTAGAAAGGCAAGTTATACAACAGAACATAAAAATATKAGGGAAAACAGCTCACCTTCAATAGGTACCTGAATTCTCTTTAAAAGCCATAATTGAATTTCAGATTTATTATCCATTTGTGCACCTTGACAGATATTGTCCAGAGTAGAGTCCAAGGATTCTTTTACCATATTTTCTTCAGTATTGGTGTCTAGTTTCAGTGGAAGGGGCTCTCTCTCCTTTWCCCATGTTTTWTCTGGCTCTTTATTGCTCTCAGTTGTGGGGTCACCAGTCTGGGGAAGAGAACTACTAAGGGTGATGTCTATTCCCACTGGCTCAGTATTTTTGTGGTCACTTAATTCCTTCTTCTGCAAATTTTCAGATAACTGCGACCCTTCTTTATTCTTATTTAGGTAGTACTCAATGAGTTTAACTTTATYTAGATCTTCATGAATGTTCAGTGTGTGTTCCACCTGGCTTTCTGGGGAACCCGACTGCTTGTCCATTTCTGGCATTACATCTTGTTTCTCACAGGCTTCTAAGTCTAGGGCTCCCTTTAGCTCAGCATCACTCTCTACTTTTGAAAAGTTCAGGGCTGACTGCCCCTGCATGTCCATAGCAGAAGTGATTATTTGTGACTTAGCCTTCTTTCGTTTCTCGGGGTCAACCGAAAGGCATTCCTTCGATGGGTCTCTTTTGTCCATTCCACTCTCGGTTTGAGATGAAAGTTCTTCCAAGTCAACAAAGTCATCATCTTCCCCTAAAAGGGAATTTTCTTTGGCTGTAGATTCAAATGCAGTGCGCATGTCAGAAGATTCCTTGCTGAGCTTAGTGACTACGGGAGATTGACTCAGGGTTGTCTCCTTAGTGGGTTCCAGTTTCTTTAATTTCCCTGACACTGAGCTACCTGAGGGCTTTGTATGTGTGAGTTCTGTTGACTTCTCCAGAGGTCCTGTTGATTTGAAATCCGAAGTCATCGTTCTTTCTCCATTTTGCTGTCTTTTTTCCCTATTGACGGACTTGAACTTACTGAAGGGGTTGATATCCTTTTCTGAAGCCAGGTCTTCCCATTCTCCAGGCCTGTACAGAGGACAAAGATCCTGAGGTAGGTCACTGTTGGGGGAAAAATGGCGGGTGCACATGGAATGTTAAAAATAAAACCGAAAAACAAAATGGAGGAAAGGAAAAAATTCAACAAAAAATAAAAACACAAACATACCATAAATTAAACTTACATTAAAATGATTTCAGAATAGGAAAAGGAAATCGAGAGACTGATTTSAAAATGAAATGTAAGTCAACTAAAGAAAATGACAAAAGAATGAATCAAGTGATTTGCATACTGTACTAGAAGCACATGAATGGTTTTGGAAGTTATATGTGAACATGTAGATGTTATGCATATGATTTTAAAACATGAAATAATAACATTTCTGATTTTCATGAAGGAAAAGATRAAGGAGAGGAAATATTTTGGTACCAATAATGATAATTCCTTAAACATTCAAAGCTTAGCCTTTTTATACAATAATGTAGAAAACAACTACATGAATTCTGAAAGGTGCCTATTTATTTCTGAAAGCTGCTTATTTAAGTGACTGACCTTCAACTACAACTTTAGGTTTCATAACCAGATGCTTCCAATAAGAAACAAAAAACCCCAACCTATTACTCCCAAAGGAGACACAGAAAGAAACTTCCATTGTTACTGTGAAAAATAATATATAGTATAACTGTGAATATGSCAGTAGATCCATTTTATAGTTTAAGAATATTACAAAAAGTAAGTTTCATAAAAGCTCTTATTTATAACACTTTAAGTTTCTTAAACATCTCTTTTATAATAATAACACTTTACGTTATGGCGATGGGGTAACTGATTGATCAGCTGTAACGTATAGTCCTGGGATCTTATTATCATTAGATGCCTGGCTGATGTTATTAATTTCCTTAATAACAGATGCTTTACAACCTAGATTTGAATTACACATAAAAATTTTTTAAAYGTGTTCTCYTAAGTTCAAAATAAGTGGCAGGAAACATACACTTTTAAAATTATGACTAAAAATGTCTTGAGTAGCCCCACATTTCAACTTACCACTATCAGTAGTGCTGCTGCTGGGTTCAAAGAGAGATATTAAAAACCCTTTATAAAAGTAATGTTCTCAATTTCAGAAATCATTTTATTTTCCTAAAAGGCCAGATCATTTTCAAGTAACACTTTATTATTCTGGCTCTGAGGTAAAGAATCATKACAATAAAGCAACAAAGTACCAGGCAGTTCTCAAATTACATGAAGATTGTTTCCCCAAAGTTATTTTATAAATCACTGGCAGGGAATGTCCAGGCTTTTTCTAATAYAAAATAAAGGCCTATATATTTGTTAAGCTATGATAAATGCCTTAGAAAGTATCCTTATTTCATTATTTATTTTAACTCAATAAGCATTCATCGAACCCCTAAGTGTCACATTCTAAAATATGATTGCAACAGAGTCTCTGKGCTACAGGAAGTGACTCAAAATGTTCTGATCAACACTACCATCCCAGGAGATATTAAAGACGCTTTAGTTCTAGAATCAAATAAGTTAGTGCATAGCATGATCTCCATGTTGGAACTCAAAWTTTAATTTGGCATATTAAAGATTGTAAGAAGTCCTACAAGAAAGAAACCCAGCTCTTCACAGACTTGACTAATAAGCAAATTTTTCTTCCACAAACATTCAAGCCCCTTTCCYACCTCTTCCTTCCCTGTGGAACATGACAGCACATTCAAATGCACTCTGATTAGCCTCCTAAATTACCTTGTCCACCCCCTCTGCTTGTTCTTCTACCTAATCCAAACTGCCAATTCCCTACTTGGGACTAATTTAACCATCTGCTTTTTCTGCACTGCAGCTGCCAGGCACTGCTGGGGCACAGTGTACAATGGTGTCAACTGGCTCAGTTGTTAATTAATGTTTTTCTAGACTCAGCCAGGCATCTAATGATGATCGATGATCCCTTCAGTTGTTCTCTTCCTCGTCTCTGTGGCAGCTGGAGTTATAAAATGTCCCCCACACCTCAAAAATATTAATACAAAACCTGAAAGTGAGACTAGGAAGACTTTACACACTCCCTCTTAAAAATCACATGCTGCAGCTAGACAGTTTGTACTCATTTTACAGTTAAACCCTGTAGGAATAATGATATTTTAAATTTTTAAATAATTGATGCAATTCTGAAGATAATAAAAAGCTCATTTCATATTGACTGCAGGCACACATTCTGTTTTCTTCATTTGTGCAGATGTTGCTCATTAGACTAAACACCTTCTGTATATACCTGCATCTGTGGCAGAAATTAATGGACAACCCTGACATAACTTTAACAAATTAGGAGCCAATTCCTGACTTTCCTTTCTTCCCCCACTCTCAGCATTATCTCTATATTCTAGATCATTAAGCATAATCTCACAGTAAGAAAATCTTTCTGTAAAAATATACCTTTCCTTTGTATTATTAAGCAGAATTTAATATCCTTGGCTGAAGAACAATAGTATTACTCTATTAGGAGCCCTCATCTGGCAAGAAATGTTTCTTTTGATGGCCATCAACTTCCAAACTAAACTATATTTTTACCTATTTCTTATCTCCTCTTATTGCCGAGAGCCCAGTATATACTCCTTYTTTCCAGAACCAGCTCCTTCACTTCCTTTCCTCCTCATCTAAGATTCCAAGGCAGCTGGACATTCACTCACATGGTTTCTTGTGGAATGCTGCATGCACAGTTGTTTGTAGTGCCATTTAATCATTAATTCTTGTCCATGTGTCTGTGACACCAGTAGAATGCAGGCCCCTCTAGGGCCCTGACCCACTTGTCTTCATATCCTTGGCACAAAAGACTGGCACAATAAGGCACACTGAAAGCCTCAATACTTATGGATAGATAACAAGATTCCCATGGAAGAATAAGCAGAACTTCAGATATAAACTATGAATTCCAGTAATAACACTCCACACTTATCAAGGTCATTTACTAAGAGTTTGGGTATTTCAATGCATTTAGTTCTATAAGCTGAAGAATACTATTCACTTTGATTTACAGATGAGGAAACTGAGGCATGAGACRGATTAATGTGAGCACGTCRAAGAGCCATAAGTGGCAGAGCCAGGGGAATCCAATGTGGTCCTAGGCTTACTTATCATGCAGTTTGCCTTACCTGCTATACCGCCTAAACTCCTCAATGAACATTTCTGGCCAGAGAATTTAGAAACTCCCTCAGTGCTCACATTCTTAGAGAGTCTTCAGTGGTTTAGGCTTAAATGGGGCTGAAAAGGTCAGATGATAAGAACTGCAGGAGTCCCAGGGAAACAGCTGGTATAAACCCCTAGGGACCTTATGTCTAGGTTCGTTCCCTAGTTACCTCCCTTCTTTGCCTATGAATCTCAAGGACTAATTCCCTTTGTACTGTTAGGATCTGCTGCTGAGGGCCTCTACCTTCTTATCATTGAGGGTTTCTAAAGACTTTTATGGTGACATTTATAGAGAAACAGACACATTAGAGACAGGACTGTTGAAATCACATTATTACTGTAATCAATTCTTTGGGCTTTCTTAACTTGTCTTCTTTCTTCCGGGGGAGCTTCCCCTCTTTCTAATTTATTAAAAATAATAAACTCAGTGTTATAAGGCAAAAGTAATCAGGACTAAAATAATATTAATCTACATTTCATAGAAAAAGCAAGAGTATTCYTGTTTCTTCACACCACCTAAGACAGTCTAGCCACAGTGCAGGTGGCTCCAACCTGTCCACTCAAACCCTTCTTCATGCAGGATCCAGGGCAGAAAAGAGCTAGGAAGACTAGCTGTCTGAGAACTTAACTGATGATGAACATACCTCTTAGCAATCCAACCCAGAAGAAAATATTATTGTCTTACTGGTAATCAAACTAAAATTCTTTCAGAGAAATTTCATTTCTTCCTCAATAAATTTATTAAGAACATGCATTGCTTTTCAGAAAAAGCCAAACAAATATAATTTTTACTGGCATTAGCAATTGCTGACTTTTTGCTTTTCTCCTGTAGCCCTTCTATGTTCAATTTTCTTATATAATTAGCTTAATCACTTCCAGTTCTCTTTATTCTATGTAGTGTACACATTTTCTACCTTTCAATTCACCTTGGCACAACCTCTTGCTTCTATGAACCCTCTCACTTCTGCAAATGCCCTCCCTTCAGAATTGTACATAATTCTTTCAACACTTCCTTTTTTTTTTTCTGGAAAGGAAAGAAATGGCTCTTACGATGGCAAGGCATCTTTGATCTTCATGTGGGAAATGTCATTATAGAGGGCAATAGAAACCACCTCTTCCATGGGGCAGATGAGGCCGTATTCCTCACACCCATTTTCAATGACCAGGGGATCAGACTTATGAGGGTCAAACATGATGTTGTTAGGAGTTACAATCATGACACCTCCAACCACACCCTGTAGGAGAAAAAGACAGAATTACTTTGGGAAGAAATGTTTCCCACAACCATTCTAGACACTTTAATTAACTCACCCTGCAACTCCATTAACTCTGTGGACCACAGTTTCCCATGTGACAATCACATCCCCTCTAGACAAACAGGCTAAAGAAATGCAATGTTGGGTGCTGGGTAGGGAGGCAGAGAAAACAGACTTGCCTCACTGTGGCAATGAACCAAGGCCTGGTTTTAGAAGAGCTGCAACAGAACAAATGTGGTGTGATTCTCGTTCAGACATGCATGTCTCAGATTCCAGAGTTCCATGTCTGAAAAATGAGAGGGGTTGTCCCAAGGGCTTTCCTGATCATGAACATGGGGTTTTACAATCTACTCAGCAAGTCTTTACTGTATGTCCAGTGTTACAGCAGGAGAATCAGGATCATGGTGCCAAAAAACAATACCAATATTTTTCTCTAAAATGTTTAGAAAGCCCACATCCAGCAAAATTCAACATAAATAGGAATATAAAAATAGCTGCGTTATGGAAATTAAAAGCCAGAAGCAATAGCTTGGTGAATCCTAAAAGTCTGACACTTGGCCAGATATCATTATAGTAGACCATACTGGCTAGCGAGACAGTATTTGCCAGGAACAGGGGATACAAGTAACTCCCTGTAGGTAAATAATTTTTTTATATTCTTAATGTATCTAGTAATCATCTTTGTGAAAATTTTTACACTTTGGACATTATTAATTCTTACTTGTAAAAGTTAGAAATGCACACTAATGACATATTTTCTGACTATTTGAAACCTGATATAAGTTGTGTCCTATGAGCACAGGGTATTAACATAGCCCCTTCTTCAGAGGCTAGTTAAAGACCAACAACCAAAAACCAAAAGCATGACATAGCAGACAGTATTTTTAACATTAGCATTTCCAGCAGAAACACAAGCTGAAAGCTTCTCATTTTTGAGATTAGGTAATGTTTTGTACAGGGATTATCTCTTTTAATTGTGCAACATTCTGTTGGTTAAATTTTATTATTGTTCCTATTTTATAGATAAGAAAAATGGGAGCTTAGGAATTTTAAATACCTTGCCTGTGGTCTCAGAGCTACTGGACTGTGGGAGTGAAATTTAAATTCAGTGAGTCTGATGCCCCTGTTTGCTGTTAAACATATAGTATACTATCTTCCTGGCAATTTATAGGTCAAGAACTGAAAGATAAATCAGTTCAAGGTCATATAGAATCACATTTTAACTCAATGATCATATTTCACTCAATAAAATGCTAGGCACCCAACAGAGGAAAACATATGTTTGTCAAATCTTAACCTTAAACTTTGCATAAAATATTTTAATTTCCCCTTCTTTCTAGTAATTTGTAACCTTGTTTGATTTTCCATAGATTCCAAGAAAAATAAATAAATAACATTGCCATATACCTTTCCATCAGTGAAGTATCGACAATTCATTTTTAGAAATTTCACCACACCTGGCTCATCTTCTTCAGAAGTAGACGATAAGACTCTTTCAATGGGTTTTAAGGCCTTTCTTGCTAAGTCAGCATCCTCATGAATGCAAAAATTTTCAAAATCAAATAAAAGTATTTTAAAACAAATTACATGTATAAAACAGCACATAAGTTCCCCTATAAATAAACTGTTTCTGTTTAACTTGAACATAAAAAAGCAAATGTTCATTCAAAAACATCACAAATATAACAATAGGTATCTGAATCAAATGAAGATTCTTAAAAATATATGAACCCCTAAACTGGCTCATTAAGTGTCTTACAAAATAACCTGAATGGAAGAATTTATAGATTCCTGATTTAAATTCCCTAGAAAAAGGAGGAGTATAAATAATCTGTCCACCTTGTTGGGAGTTTAACTTTATACTTTCACACAAGGCATGCACTTTTAACTTTGAGACCTTATATGTGAACTGGTCTGTCTTGGAGAAGATGCATTCTCTGAGCTAATGTAATCTTGTGAAAAATAACATTGGATTCTACGACTCACAAAAAAATTCTTTCTGATAAAAATGAACTTCAATGTGTGACATATAGAACATACATACAGGCAGTTTATCATATTCTGCATCTGATGATGAAGGAGAGACAGTAGCACCAGGACTAGATGATGATAGCCTTAAAGTACTAGAAGGGAAGTTGGCATCTGGCACAAAAAGGACCTGAGAATGAGAAAAAAGAACTGAGTAAACACCAACAACTTGTAAACTCCTAGCTAGTATTTAGAGACATCACTCTGCACAGGAGTGTGCTCAGTACATGACAAATACCTGGGTAGCTTTCATGGAACTCATAAATAACATGGGGTCTTCTAGACAGATCCATATATGATACTTAGCAATAAGAATGTGTACGGTGCCAAAGGCATATAGTAGGTCTGCAGGAGATTAAAAAAAAAGGTGGAGTAAGGTTTTCYAAGCAAGCCATGTGAAGCAAGTGAGGTCTCGAACAATCAGGGATTAGATGGAAGGGAGGGGAAAGCCTTCCAGGAAGGGAACTAATACAGGTTGGGCATCCTTCACTTGAAATGCCTGGGGTCACAAGTGTTTCTGATTCAGGTTGTTTTTTTTTTYYCCCCCAGATTTTGGAATATTTGTATAGACTTTACCTGTTAGGAATCCCTAATCTGAAATCCAAAATGTTTCAAATGTACTCGAACATTTTCTGACTTTGAAGCATTCTGGATTTTGGTATTTGGATTAGGGCTGTTCAACCTGTAGTATAAGGGAATAGAGGAGAGAGAAGCATGGCATGTTTCTAAAAAGAACATCCRTGACAGGTAGAAATGGAACAAGTCCAGGCTAGATGACTCCAAGCAGGACTGATTGGTAAAGTGGTGAGGTCCTTATATGATAAACTGTACAAAGTAATCCATAGATGATCTCAACACTTTCTCTTCCATTGGTGTCTGGGTTATATAAAAATTAAAATATCACAACAAGTAGTACGAAATACCCACCTCCTGTAAAATAGTTTGGTTTATGAAATGCTATTATGATCCTGTCATCTTTTCAGCATATATCAAATATAATCTTAAAATGGTGACCTTCAGTGTTATAAAACAGAGTTCAGAGCTAATCTTGTAACAATTGATCTCAGATCAATACTGTTATTTAGTGACTCCCATTCTTCCAATCATTTTAACTTTAGTTATTCAAATCTTACTTCAATCCAGAATAACTTGAGGCCAAAACAAAAAAACACATTAATATAAAGGTCAGAATATTTAAATCAAGGTGATGTAAGATGAATATTGATTACTATGAAAACTGTATGCTTCAAAATTACTGAACTTTCATTGATATATGGGCCATAAAACCAGCTTGTGAATTTCTATACAATCAATGCAGAGGAAGGCATCAGGAATTAGCAGAATTCAATTTCTATAAGATAAAAAAAAAACCCCAAAAACCAGTTTTTTAGAAGTACAAGTATTCTCCCATTCAGTCTCATTAATAAAAGAATATTCTACATTGAACTATTTGTACTCAATAATCTACTCATCCACTAACAAGAAACACAATGACTAGTACMAGAGGGCTGTTTTTTATAACACCTTCCATATATAGGTCAATGTCAAATGACAAAGTTCAGAGTTCTTGAAAGTGGTTGACAAAGGACTAAACATATGTGATCTTAGTATACAATTTCTTATTATCTTTCATAGCAAAACTAGAGGATGAATGGATGGGATTTTTCTTAAGCAATTCTCTATTAATACTAAAATGTTTATTATTTTGCACCTGAATGCTTGAAAAAATGTGTTGTTTGACACATTCTCAATGGGATAAGGCCTAGCCTGAACAGCTAACAGCACTGTATATAGAGGTGTCCTGTGAAAGTTGGGAAGCTTACCCAGAGCACATGCTATCTCAACATGAAAATGGGCCTAGATCACAGACAGAGGTGACGTTTTCCTACTGCCTCCAGAAAATAATTGTTTGCTCCAACACATAAGCCTATGGGGACTCGAGGTCCTAAAGTCCATTACCATAAAGTAAAGCTACCATTTTAACCTGGAAAAAATTTTATGTATGTGCAGCCAAGGTGTCCTGTGAATGTAAAACATCTTAAAATACATATCCATAGGGTAAATTTTGAGTATTCTCAAGATAAACTACTTGGCAAAGTACATTCTTTATACGTGTCCTCAAATTTGATATAAGTATCAGAATAAACTTAAGAATATTTTGAAAAATATTTTATGTCTCAGATTTTGTTCTTAAGTTTGTCTCATCTGTTTTTTGTCATGAAAGCCACAAAAATTATAGAGTAAGATTTTAGATCCAGGTAACCTCCTTTGAGGTCATGGTCACTGACCTAGTTAGACTAGTTTCTTCCTACCTCAAGGTGATCATAGTGTTTAGAAGGAAAAGTCTCAAATTTTCTGTAACCAGAACAGATCAAACTGGTTTTGATTTATAAGATCTACTGAGGTGAGAGATGCCTACCCCTCCAGGCACCAAGATAGAATATTTTAAAATCCTTGAAAGCAAAAGTCCATCTACAGTGTTAAAGTTCCTCAATCTTTCTAACTTTTCCTCAATTCCTTATCTTTGTCAGGAAAAAAAAAATTATGAGATAAGACTCAGGACAACTAATAGCACATAACTGTTTAGTTCTATAAGGACTGGCCACTATAGTAAAGACTAAAAAGGGCTTCRAAGGGCTTGGGTTGTGGCTCAGTGGTAGAGTGCTCACCTACCATGTATGAGGCACTGGGTTTGATCCTCAGCACAACATAAAAATAAAAACTAATTAGAGGTATTGTGTCCAACTACAACTAAAAAGAATAAATAAATAATTTWAAAAAATGGTATCTGAGATTAGTGGTCCAATACCTAACTTCAGAGATTACGAGACTGAGATCCAAAAAGGGAAGTGACTTGCCTAGGTTCAATTGCCAATATAAGGCCAAATGGAAACAAAGCTTTGGGGATCCCATTTCTGATATTTTTACCAGTTATAGGCATATTAAAACAGTCCTTGAATTTCTATTGGCTACTGGAGCTTCATTTAGTACCAATCAATTATTTTGCTACTGGAACTTCATTTAATATGAATTGATTATTTTGTTTATGGACATAGCATAAAGAATCACCCTAAATTACTTTACTAAGTTCTAGGAGCTATAATCTTTGGCCTTGGACTGGTAAATACATGCCTAGATTCTCTGCTATGGGTTAGCTATACATTATGTAGCATACCACAGATTATAAAATAAACCCAACAATGAAGAGACTAGTATCTATTTTCCTAGAGATGAAAATTTATTAATTTCTGAAAAGTTTTAATGCAGATCCCCCATCCTCCAATTACTGGTACTGGCAGTATACTAATTTCTCCTATTCATAAGAATATAAATACCTTAAACACTAACTAGCCAAATTGTAGTCTGCTGGTTTCATGTGCTACCTTGAAGAACATTGCCTGAATGATGTTTTACTTATAAATAATGTTATTTACCTTGAAAGAATTAAATGTCACTATGATATAAAGATACACAAGATGCTCTAAAAAGCCAGCAATGGAACCCAAATGTGTTTATGGCAATTGAGCTCTACTATGAATGAGACTGGATACTTGACCTTAGTTAAGTGCTTTCAATGACTAAGTCATTTGAATCTATTGGCTGACTGTAGTTTTAGAGTACAAATACCAGGATATCTTATCATGTAGAAGGCACCATAAAAAATTTACTACATTAACCTAAAGTGACAAGATCATGCATTTATCAATTTCCATCAGTTTAATGAATAAAATACTAAAACTTGGGGAAAAAATTGGGGTGATTTATTTTTGATGGTCCTGCCTAATGTCTTTGTCTTTAGTCACACTGACCATTCTTGTTATGGTATCAAATTGAGAAAAAGATGACAAAAATGTTGTCTTACTGAAAATAAAACAACAGCTCATGTACCGCAAACATTAAGTTTGATGTACAATGTACCTCAAAGAAGGAGAATAAATTGAAATTCACTAAATTGAAATTCCGAATTAAGGATAGCTATCTAATATTTAAAAGGAAAAAAAGTTATATGAATTTAGAACTTCTCCTGATGAACTTAATTAATGATAGTGTTAAGTGTGCTGGTCATTTTCAAAGTATTAGCCTCTGAACAGTTCATAAGTATTAGGATGCTTTCAGAATTCTTGGATCTAAGGAAGATGAAAGATTGAAATGAACATTATCATTGATGATAATAGACTGACACTAATAGTAAAGCATTAAATATTGCAATAAAAGATAAATGCAAAATTTCTGAAGTGATACTCAACAGGAAAGTAATTACCTGGCCTGGAACAATAGTATGTGTGAAAAGTTTATTCAGTTCCACTAATTTATTGGGAGTGATGTTAAACTTCAGTGCTATGGAGTTTAAGGTGTCCTGGCTTCCAGCCTAGAATAACCAAACAAACAAGATTCAATATATAAACCAAAAAAAAAAAATCCTGTGATAAACAGTATTAAATCTGTTCATGATATGAGTAAATAAACAAGCAAAAGTTCTATCCAGAGATACTAGGTAAACAGTGACTATATTCTCAATTCTTACTAAAACCATGCAAAAGCAATCTTAAGTACAATTCATTTCTGAGCTCTCTTTCCTCCAGATTTCACTGTCTACTAATAGACTTCTAATTTTACATTGGCATAATGAGATCTAATATGTAGGAAACTTAACTTACGTAAGGAGAAAAGAAAAAAAAACCCACATATGTAGTACCCACCCACAGGGGAAGTGGGGCTACTTTCTCTTGTGGTTTTCTGTCCATTTACTTGTCTCTCATTGTACTACTAGTGACCTGCTAATGGCTGTTGGCCCCATGTTCAGCACAGTGCCTGAGACACACAGAGGGCACTCTACTGACAAATGAGTACTAAAGATGGCAAGAAATAATGAAAAGCTACCAAGAATTTTTCACTGTCATTAAAAGGACAATTTTCCATGGTCAATGAAATTAGTGTTAGTCTTTCAATTTTTGAAACTTGTGACCTATGTTCCAGGTGTACACTTTTCATGCCTTTCATAACAGAGGAGGAATAGTAATAGAGAGTAGTGAAAAGACAAGAAACAACATAGTAAAAATGCACCACTAAAAAAAAAAGTTGGTTTTCTGCAGTCATGCCAGTCTCCAGGAATGGCCTCCCCATCCAGAGACACTAGATGAATTTGTGGGAGGTGAATTTTATGACTGTCACTGAATAGTTCCCATTGATAGCCCAGGGTTAAGATGGGTGGCAACTCTATAAGCAACACTGAATCTATCGGGTGGGTTATAAATTATGGGTGAATTTGAGGTGTCTAAGGAGAGTATGGACTGGCAAGAAGGTAAAGATGCAAAATTCAAATTAAACTCCATTGCCCTCAGAATCAAAAGGACCAACACAACGGACCGTCTCAGACTAATAAAAGGTTATAGTTATAAATCACGCTGAAAATTGTGTCAAATCTTTTCAATAAGTTTTTAATTTTTGGTGTGAAAAACTGAAAATCTAAGCAACATGCCCTACATCAACCCTGGGCATAATAATCTCTACTAAAACTAAAGTAAAAATAGTTTTAAAAATATTTTCCCAATACTGGATATTGATCTAATATACTCAGCACAGAGGTTTTCAAGGCTTAGAGCAGGTACAAGATACAGATTGCAAATGCTGACTCTAGAATCAGATGGCTGGATTTGAGTTTTAGATCAGTAATTTGCTGGTTGTACAACTTTTGGACCACTCTGTGTCTGCTTCTCAATCCATCAAATAGAGATAATCATAATATCTGCTTTATAGCACCAGCTTCATGATAAGTGATCAATACAATTGTTTCATATTTTTATGAGTAAAACCTGTAAAAGATCCTGTATGCAGAGGGTTCAAGGAAAGAGAAAATCTTTAATTATCTGCAACTATCACATAAAGATTAAATATGCATATAGAATTAGACCACAAAGACACTGATAGGGATGCTTAAAACTAAACCAAAATGCTTGAACATCTACTTCTTGGTATCAATATAAACAATTCAGTAAATGCTAGMATAAAGTCATCTTTTATTTCCAATGACAAGGATAAAAATAACTTGCTAAAAATTAATCTCCATAACATACATAATGCATATTTGCATTACTAATTTGATCATTTGTTTATATTTGTTAACTAATTTGGAGGTTGACATTTACTTTTATTTTATTGTTTAGTATACACTACATAGAGCAACTCCTACTAAGTACTTCTTAGTTCTTTGGATAGGCTTGTGAATCAATTGTTGGATACACACAAGTCTTAAGGACTATGGCTTTAGAATTAATGTTCTCAATGACAAATAATGTAATAATGTTCAACAGTGCTAGTTCATAATGAATTAAAATAGACCTATCACTGAGTAACCCCTTTACGCCAAGCCTTGGATTAATAAGATTCAGCTCCTGGTTTCCAGGAGCTCATGGTGCAGTAAGAGATGAGTACATCACACATAGTGTGGGGCTGTGGTAATGGATACATGCCTAACATCATTCACCTATTTATTCAACAATATGGGAGCCTACACCTTGCAAGGTGCCAAGAATATCATACAAAAAGGGGTCTAGTCTCACTTCATGGATATAAAAATTAAGGCATGAAATAGATATTAAAATAACAATCACAGTTAGGAACAATGTTAAAGTGGCGCAATTTATGTAAAGAATGTGATTCTATGAGAGAATTAAATGAAGGGATCTGGCCTAGATTGCTGGATGGCCACAGGAGGGAGGAATAAATATAGAGAGTTAGGGGAACAAAATATCAAGGATAAGGGTCTGGCTTGTACAAATATATGCACCATGGAGCCATTGCTTCTGGAAAAAGGACCAAGCATGGAAGAATAAGTGAGTATTTTGAGTGGGCAACTGCATGTATGGCTTTGCTCTCAGAAAGGGTGCCTAGAATAGAGACCTACACTTGGTAGGCATTGTCATATTTACAGATAATTCAAGTCATCAGTTTGGTGGTTCTAGCAGAGGACACAGCTACAAGTATGCCTTTAAGGGTGAAAGTAGTCTTCTTCTATTGGGAAATGTTGTCTTCATTAACCCACTTTCAGGTAGGTAACATGGAATGGGGAGGGAAGGGGACACCTGACTAGCAGCTGGATCAGCCTAAGCAATACTAGCCATCATCTACCCTCAAATCATTGGTTTACATAAATTTGCTCAAGGAGAAAACATGGAGGGAAAAGAAATGAACTAAAATAGGTCTTAAGAAGCTTCATTATTTTACGGGTATACAAAAAAGAATATAGCTAAGGGGCAAGATAGAAATCTTCAGGGAGAAAACATGTAAACCTAGTAGTATTAAGAAATGTTCATAGACACTTCTCAGAAGGTGATAAACAATCAATCAACAAATATATGAAAAAATGTTCAACCTCTCTAACAATGAGAGAAATGCAAATCAAAACTACTCTAAGATTTCATCTCACTCCTGTCAGAATGGCAACTATTATGAAGACAAATAACTAAGTGTTGGCGAGGATGTGGGGAAAAAGGTACACTCACTCATACATTGCTGGTAGRACTGCAAAATGGTGCAGCCAATATTGAAAGCAGTATGGATATTCCTTGGAAAACTGGGAATGGAACCACCTTTTGACCCAGCTATCTCACTTCTTGGCTTATACGCAAAGGACTTAAAAATACCATACTACAGGGTCACAGTCACATCAATGTATATTGCAGCACAATTCACAATAGCTAAACTGTGGAACCAACCTGGATGCCCTTCAGTAGATGAATGGATAAAAAAATGTAGTATATATACACAATGAAATATTACTCAGCAATAAAAGAGAATAAAATYATGGCATTTKCAGATAAATGAATAGAGTTAGAGAAGATAATGCTAAGAGAAGTTAGTTAATTACAAAAAACCAAATGCCAAATGTTTTCTTTGATATAAGGAGGCTGATTCATAGTGGGGTTGGGAGGGGGAGCACGGAAAAGTTAGATGAACTCTAGATAGGGCAAAGGGGTGGGAGAGGAAGGGAGGAGGCAAGAGGGTAGGAAAGATGGTTGAATGAGATGGGCATCATTACTCTAAGTACATGTATGAAGACATGAATGGTGTGAATACATTTTCCATACAACCAGAGATATGAAAAATTGTGCTCCATATGTGTAATATGAATTATAATGCATTCTGCTGTCATATATAACAAATTAGAATTTTAAAAAAAGAAACATTCATATTCCCCTGTTTATACTTACGGTGTATTCCATGGTGCCATGGGGCTTCTGAACCACCATCTTCTTCTCTTTTTTATCATGTGTTTTATTTTGATTGTCATCTAAAGAACAAATTATGTGTAAATGAATAATTTCATTGTCAGGATTGAAGATGGACTAAATCTACATTGTATGAAAATCTACTATGAAATTGAATAAAACCCCAAAAATGATACTAATAGAAAAATGGACTAAGGGCAAAAAAGACACACTCCAAAAGCATATTATTCATCACTGGAACTCCTGAATAAATGATTAATGTTAAATATGTTTAAATAATACAAATATAAACAATAAGGTCATGCTTTACAATATTAATAGTCTAAATAGTAATGAATAACAATGTCGAACTTAGAGCAAAACCAGTATAATCACTATATAAATAGTGCATAAATCAGTTCAGTCCTTTTAGAAAGTGATTTGGCAATATGTAGCTACAGTTATAAAAACGTTCCTTCTCTCAACCCATAATCCTCCCTTAATATATCCCAACGGCTGGGCGCTGTGACACATGCCTACAGCCTCAGTAACTTGTGAGACTGAGTAAGGTTGTAAGTTTGAGGCCAGCCTCAGTAACTCAGCAAGATCCTGTCTCAGAATGAAACATAAAAAGGGCTGGGAATGTAGATCAGTGGCAAAGTGCCTTGGGTGGTTCAATTCCCAGAACAAAAAACAAATAAATAATTTTTAAAAATCATCCTAAAGACAGAGTCAAAAGAAAAAGCACAGTGTATGTCAAGTATATGGTTATTAAAAAATATTTATAAAGATAAAAATTTAGAAAGACCTACACATCTAACAACATTAAGTTGGATGATAGATTTTGCTGTTTTTAAAAATGGTTAACCACTAGCAACTGCAAATGACTTAAATTAATTGTTACGGTTAAATACATCTCAGTACATTAATCCAGATATCATAAAACATACASATATTGCCATGGATAAAAAATTTAAGGACAGCAAGAAGGTAAAACTGAATTAACCAAGAAAAGATGCTCCAACTTGCCTATGAGCAGAATGCAAATTAAAACCAGGTATCATTTTCTACTTATTAGGCTGAAAAAAATCAGAAAGCTGGATATTCTTATGCTGGCAGAAACATGAACTGCTACGAAGAATGTAAATTGTTTCAGTCATTCCAGCAAATTAAGCATACACAGTCTGCCTGCGAGTAGCCTATCCCAACAGATACACATCCTTTCCATGAGCAATTCATTTTATACGTGCCATAATGATCTGTTTCATCCCAATGTCCTCTGAGGCAGTGGGGAACTGCAGGGCTGGGGGCAGTGTAAGTAAAATTTATAGCTATGATCTGGGATTCCAGTCAATAATTAGAAACAACAAGCCAGGCGTACACATAGCAGCAAGTTTACATCAAGAGAAACAGAATGGTGGGTATAAAACAGTATTATTTATGTACATCTAAAACAGATGGATGTAAAACAACCACAAACATTTTTCAAGGATGTGTAAAAATAAAAGCCTGTCACACTGATCATAACAGAATGACATGGAGTAGGGAGGGGAAATGAGGATAAAGGGGAAATGAATGAAGAAGTAAGAAGGAGCCCAGCCCTGAGCCGTGATGAGAAGTGGAATTAACTCAGCCACTACATCTGAGGTTCCACAAACACACACACACACACACACACACACACACACACACACACACACATACACAATCAACAATACCATTTCATCTATATAATAAATATAGGGCTACTGGGTGAGAACTGAAGGTAACAAAGAATCTGGAGAACAGTTCATTCACATAGGATTTACCTGGCTTTTAACTATCTTCTTTATACTGTTTAAAATTAAAAGCCAAGAGAAAAAAATAAAGATGCTGCCATAAGAATCCTGTTCCAGTCATTTATACATTCAAATCAGATCCATCAGAGAACCAGAGACCCTGATAATTCCTCTAGACTAATTTAAAAAAAAAAAAAATTTAAGTGGCCATATCTAAATTGCTTCAGGAAGATGGGACTCAGGATTGTGGCTTCTATATCTCTAGATAAGAAGATTCTACACAGCCTCACTTCAAAAAACCCAATTACAATATTTTWAAAATCTTATGAAAATGTAAAAAACTGGGTTGCCTTGTTCCTGGAAGGTAAACAATATAATGTTAACAACATTCTTCCTTTATCTCCTTCTACAGAATCAGAAGGTGGATACCCCAGGCTAAGATTCCAAGATGAATTCTTCCAAAGCTTCCTTTGGCAGTTCACCAATTCATTCCTTTTCACATCATATCCCCATTTTCTCTGTGGCACACTCTGTCCTTCTCACAACATCACAAACAGCTGTCACCTGACGTCCTCCTGCCGTCAGAACAAGCTTTTTATATTCTTTGGTAGGTGCTTCCTATTTCTAGATCCCAAGCTAGGCTTCCTTCTTATCTGYGGCAGCTCCTGGTCCATGCCTTTCCATAAGCTGCATATAGCTATCTTTGGTCCCAGTGGGGAGCACTCTCAGAAGCTACCAATTCAGGAGCATTTACCTATGCCCAGCTGCAAAATAAAAATGTGTGCTAGGGGGCTGAGGTTTGGCTCAGTGGTAGAGCCCTTGCCTAGCATGTGTGAGGCACTGGTTTCGATTCTCAGCACCACATAAAAATAAATGAAATAAAGGCCAATTGACAACTAAAGAATATTTWAAAAAATGTGTGCTAGTTGAACTTTTCAGGATGAACTTAAATATGTACACTTGAATTAGTACAAAAATTAATTACCTTCCAYTGGCACAGGTGGATAGGAAGAGAAAAATTTCAAAAACACAACATTACAAATAAYAAARCAAAYGTCCCTCTTGARTCTAAGATTCTGAAATCCTTGAGGTGTATAGACTGTGATACACCCATTTTTGAATGTCTTGAGCCTTGACATACATGGTTAAATGAACTTTTCAATACAGTCAATGAGCCTGAYATCTTTGATTGCAGGTTAATATTTGTCACTGAAATAATGTCACACTGGACAAATCATATGCACCTGTCAAAGCCACAAACCAAACACTATATTTTACAGTTGGCTCAAAAGAAAAAAACAGGAGTAATTGGCAAATCTAAAGATTAAATTTAATTTTCTACATGTTATTATAACACAAGGTAAGGTTTATATTGCATTTTTTTTTTTTGCAGTGAGTTATAAAGATATCCAACTAGGTGTCTCGATGAAGGCAACCCTGTGTGTCTTACCAAGGACGAGGCATGAACYGTCACAGGATCGACTGCTTTGCTGTGCTTCAAGATGGGGCTTCAACTCCAGTGTTTTAGTTAAGTGAGGACCGAAGACACAATTGTCCCCCAGTGACCCTGACACCTGCACTTCTAGCCCCAGGCTTCCTCGTAGCCCTTTATACTTACTAAATTCTGACACTTTCCCTTGCTTTCAGGAATTCTGAGTCAAATGATGTCAAAGTATCTACTKCCTGAGGGGAAAGTTGGCCAGGTGCTCCTTAGGGATTATTCTAAGTAAAGCAACTAAACCTCTCACCTGCCGCACCTGTGAAATGAAGTCCTCAAAGCTGGTTTTGCCCTCAGTATTTCTAATAAGGAAGTACTTGTGACAAARTTGACGAAAACCCTCGAGGAACAAAACACAGGCCCTTCAGCCTAGCCTGTCTTTTTCTGCATACATCCTAGAGGTGGGATCTAGAGTGGGGAGTAGGAACAGGCTSTCTGCCTTGACCTCAAACCATGTGGGCCTTGGTGTCCTGCCACTTGCCTTCCCACCCTGTAAGAGAGCCCAGAATGTCCAGAACATGAGGCTGTTGGCTCCTGCATTTGAAAAGATGTCAGATAAAAGTTTCCTGAAAGGAAACTTTTTCTCTCTGGGCAGTGGGGCTAAAGAAAGGAAGGCGATCCATTGGCACATCTGGGGCAGGGGCACAGAGACAGGTTCAGGAGAGATCATTTGCAGTCGTGACCTGTGGAGTCTCGGGTGATACTATGACTACAAAGAGAATGCATTTTTTGGAGAAGGTCTGAGGCTTGAGAATGGCATCTAAAGAAAGCTTAGATTTGGTGAATAAAAAGAAGTGAAACTGGGGCTGGATTGTGGCTCAGCAGTAGAGCACTGGCCTAGCACATGTGAGGAACTGGGTTCGATCCTCAGCACCACTTAAACATAAATAAAAGAAAGTTATTGTGTCCATTTACAACTAAAGTAAAATATATATATATATATATTGAAAAAGTGAGACTAATAAAAGAGAAAAGCAATTTTGGGGATGGGAGAGTGAATACAGTATCACATAGGCCATGGGTGAAGAGAGGGAGGGAAGGGAGGTGTTCTCTACACTATCAAATGCTGCACAGAGGCTGAGAGGTGGAAATCTGGGAACAGATAACTGGAGGTCACACAGAGCTGCTGAAAGTGGAGGAAACCCCTGAGAGGGACAACAGCAGGGGTAAGGTCATCTGCTAAAATGTAATGGGGTAAAGACAGGATTGGGGAGCAAAAGGAAGTGGAAGTTGGGAGAGCTATTATGGCAAGGATAAGGTTGTGATCATGTGAATATGGAGAAGGAATACAACAATAAGGGTTCCCCCCAGGGTGGGGTCTCATCAGGTGGCAGGCCATGTGAGAAGTAGATAAACTGCTGAAATGGTCACCAGTAGAGTTTTTGATGGATGCAAAGAGGAGGGCAGCTGAGACTCAACCAATGGCAGGGGAGGGTTAGTGAGAGGCTGGAGGAGTTAGGAGAACGGCAAGATGAATGAACTTCCTATTGCTGCTGTAACAAAATACCACAAATTTAGTGGTTCAAAATTAAAAATAAAATCAGAGGTACTGTCTTACAGTTTCACAGGTTAGACATTTGACATGGGTCTCACTGTTTTCCTTCTGGAGTTTCTAGGGGAGGATGAGCTTTCTTGTGTTCTCTAACTTCTATAAGTGATTTTTCAAAAAATTATTATTACTATTTTAATCAAGGTCTTTTTCTCCATCTGCAAAGCCGGCAGCACTGGCTGAGTTATACTTATGCTGCCATTTCTCTAGTTAACTCTCCTCTGCCTCCTCCTATCAGTATTAAGATCACTTGTGATG